ATATATATTAGTTAGTAGTATAGTTATTTTTATTAATTTGGCTTTAATTTTGGTACAAAAATTGCAATTTTTTAGGCCAGTGTGAAATACAATGATATGATCAAACAGAACACAATTCTTCGAGAAGAAATTGATCATCTTCTTAAAGAACGTTCCCATTTCAATGAACTTTACCAGAAATTGATAAAACACATTAACAAAGGCAAGAAAGTTATGATGGATCTAATTGAGCAAGCTAGTCTTGCGTACGATCAGAGGTAAGTACATTTACTTAATTTTCATTTACAGAGATCTTTCGAGAAGAAAATTTTTTCCTACGTTTTTTGAACCTACTAATCCATCTTTGGGTCAACTCTAAATGTTTTTGCATTTGGTAGTTGTGGATATGTACAAATGGCAGGCAGTGCTGGGCCAATGTGGGAAAATATACAATGTGGTGTTCTTGTACTCCATTTCCCTTTTCTATAAATCAAAATAAATCTGTTCTCCTGGTCAATTACTACAAGGTTTTTTCTTGTTATAATTCTAATATTGTTTAGCAGAATTATGCATGCACTGTGGTTACACGTTACCACAGTGAAATTGTTATTATATTAATTATGAGCTATATTATAGCTTATATTTCCCAGCTGTTGTATATATTGAAACATTAAAGAAATCTAACAGTTCATAAGATTTTATTTTTTTATTTTATTTTATTCTCCATGAAATAACACATTAGAAAATGAATCTGCTATCTGCTAAATGGACTATGTACTAAAATAAAAATAAATAAAATGGAATAAAATTTTTAAAAAGTCTTGAAAGGGTTAAAGTGTGTTTGAAATATATGTTCAATAGAATTGTAAAGTGTTTATAATAGTGTAGAATAGTATGTTGTATTTAGCATAAAGTGTAATATAGTATTAATGTCTCTTCCTTACTTTTTATTAAATTACATTTAAAACTTGATTGCACAAATGCATTTTTTAATCACAGTCAAAAATAATTATTTTTTTCTTATCTGAAGAGAGGAAGCACAAATAAAACTTCAATGTTTGAGAGAAAAAGGAAGACAAGATTATCTTCAACAAAGTCATGAAATGAGAGAACTGCAGAGAAAACTTGATCATGACACTAAACTTCAGGAATTCTTGAGTGTTAAAGGGCAGAAACGTGTAATGGCAGATTTAGAAGCAAGAGAAGCCCAGAAGAAGCGTATGTTTTGCCACTTTTGTTTAGTTATATTTGTTATGATCTTATAATTAAATCTCAGAACGTTCTAGATGATGTTTATTGTTATTTTGTTTTATTTTTTTTAGTAGGAATGTGAAGTTATTGGATGTGTATGAAGTTTGATATTGTGTTTGAAGAGAAATTATGTTTATCTAACAAATTCATACATATGTAATATTCTAAATAATTAAAAATGTACTATCTGATGTACATTCATCAAAATACAAATGTTTTGTCAAAAAATATATTATGTTTGAATGCCTAGATCAATGTCAGTTATTGAATGCTACAGGCATGTTCAGAATTTTTTCTTCATTTTTAAATTCTGAATTTTTCCCTCAGGCCAGCAGCGTGAGGCAGCAGAAAGAATGATTTCCAAATATAAGAGTATTTTGTACCAAATCAGAGAGTTCATGGGAGAAGAAGATATTGATCGCATTGCTGCAAAGTTTGTTAAACAAGAAGAAGAGAATTTTGCCCTTTTCAATTATGTGAATGAGCTTAACAATGAGGTATACTTTCAATATTTTATTATATTGTTAATGAAATCTGAGTCAGATGTAATTGAAATTGTAGTTTCATTGTAAAATATATTTTCAGGAAAAATTAGCATTTTAAACATTTTGGGCTCTAAACATTCCTTCTTTAGTACAATGTGCTCTTGGTTTCTAATGTTCTTTTTCTTATTTTTTCTTTCTGCCTTTTTGATTCTTCTTCTTCTTCTTCTTCTCCTCCTCCTCCTCCTACTTCTTCTTCTGGTTCTTATTCTTGTTCTTATTCTTCTTCTTCTTCTTCTTCTTCTTCTCCTCCTCCTCCTCCTCCTCCTACTTCTTCTTCTGGTTCTTATTCTTGTTCTTCTCCTTCTTCTTCTTCTCCTCCTCCTCCTTTTTTTCTTCTTTTTCTGGTTCTTCTTCTTCTTCTCCTCCTCCTCCTTCTTCTTCTTCTTCTTCTTCTTCTTCTCCTCCTTCTTCTCCTCCCCTCCTCCTCCTCCTTCTTGTCCTTCTTCTCCTCCTTCTTCTTCTGGTTCTTCTTCTTGTTCTTCTCCTTCTTCTCGTTCTCCTCCTCTCCTCCTCCTCCTTCTTTTTCTCCTTCTCCTCCTTGTCCTTGTCCTTCTTCTTCCTCTTTTTATGTCCCTTTAATATTATTATTGATATGTATGAAACTACTCTTAAGATACTCGGGAACATAAATATTTCTAAAGTATTCTACTAATTAAATATTTTGATACAGCTTCAAGTACTTCAAGACCAAGTGGAAGATCTTCGAACACGTATAGATGAACAGCGTGTTCTTAACCAGGAACGAGAGCAACAACAGCAGCAGCGACTTGAAACTATGCAAGAAGAATTGGAAAAGTTGCGACATGAAGCAGATAATGCACAGGAACAGCGCTTAGTTTCGAGTCGCTCCCTTGAAACTTTGTTGTGTGGAATTGAACAAGTTTTCAAGAAAATTAGATGTGACAACTCACCATTACTTCAACTTTTGGGTGAGTTTTCGTACAGAACCATCCTCCTGCCAAGTGCCATAGGCAGGGAATGATTATGAGAGTTTGTTTTAGTAATTATTGAATGATTATATTTGTACCCTAACGTGGCTGTCCTGGAGACGCCACTTCCCAGGCAAAATTGCCAGCATTTGAACCGTTATATTGCGGCCTTTCTCGAGTCGAAATATACGAGGTTTTTTTCTGTTTTCCCCGCTCCAGTTGCCCTGGAAAGACAGGAATTTGTTCAGTTATTGGGGTACAAATTTACTGCGGCCTTTAATGCTTCTGCAGTATGAGCAGGGCCTTTATTAAACATGCTAACTAATACCAACTTATGCACGATTTTTTTATAACTATTAAAAACACTTTGAGTCTATATATGGAGTGGACTGCGCACGGGTTTGTATAGAGTGCCCAGATCTGCCAATACAGAGAAAGCATCGACCAATCGGGCAACGGTCCCTCTGGACAGGATGACAAGGGATCGAAGGGGACAGTCGAACGTCAAAGAGTAGCAGGAACCGCGCCTTAACGCGACCGTGCGTCGCGGTAAAATAGAAGTTTCCAGGCCTCGGGGAGATATAGGTCTTGGTCAGCATTGAAGTTTTAGGAATGTTTGATGATTTCCACGGCTTCGTTTATACTCCTCTATCCCCAACTACAAGGCCACATCCAAGGATTTAGATTTATTTAGTTAAAAAAAATCGTATGTGACATATCGGGGAGACGATCATTTGCGCACATTTTCTTCAGTTCAAGAATCCTTTCCCATCATTTTAACTATAAATAGTTGAAAGATAAGTAAAAGAGATAAATAAGAAAAATAAAATTAAAAAAAGCGCGAGATTAGCAACATTTGAAAAACTAGACATTTTTGTTCCCTAGTTATAGAAAACTTATTTGCAACGGTACACAAACTGCAGATTTGATTTTTCTGCATTGCTAACAAAATTGTAACTCGCCCTTACTTCTACTCCCACTACTACAAGCAATAGGAGAGTTCAACAAAATGTGCGCATGGTGAAGCTACATTGACTACAGAAGAAAAACAAGGGGCCACCTCAGCATTTGGTCAATGTGTCAGGGAAACTGAGAAAAAACTGATCGAGATGGGGGTCATTGACCCAGAAGCTGAAGTACATTATTTGTAGGAGGCGGGCGTTGTCAAAAAGAATGGTGTGGACATTTTTCCTTCCGGGGATGGTTATGGCCAATTTACTTATATTGTGATATATTTAATGGCGAATGTGTTCTCGGTTTCTATTAACGCCGGCTATTATATTTGTACCTTGATAACTCATTGTTGGAACATAAATAGTGCTCTGAAAACATTTGGTGAATGCTCCATAAAGCTTCACGGGATTTAAACGCCCATAAAAATTATTTACCCAAAAGGCTTAACACCTACCCTCAAACTCATTTTTTTTTCACAGATGAAGCACGGTGTTGACTTGAAGGAGCTCTTTTATTCATATTAATTTTCATCAGTATTGAGGTTTCTTGTGTTGGTTTTTAGTTGCTTTTAAATGAAAATATTATGGTAACATCTTCATAATGTAAATACTATGCATTCCAGAAATTATAATTTTCATTCATGGTTATCTTATTACTTGAAAAAATATTTTATATTTAATTTAAATTAAATATAGGCATACAGCATTATTTTAAGTAAAAATCTATAGTTTTTGTTTATCACAATCTACAGTCACAATCTACAGTTTTTATTACAAGAGGATATTTTAAAATATTTGAAATATTTACTATCAGTACAAATAAAGTTGAAATATCTACATTATTACTTAGGTACAAAAATTATACTGTATAAGAGCTGATGTTCAACTTATTTGTCTGCACAGGTGAAAACACTCATGTAATGCCATATAATGTAATGTTATATCTCAATATTATTGAGCGCCGGACTCATGAGTTTCTCAGCACAATATTTTACCTTGAAAGTCAACGTGCACAACAGGGAAGAACTTTCTTACTTGTGGACCAGCCAATGGCTGATACACCTCCTGTTCCTTTGCAACTTATGGCACCGACTCAACCATGTGTCCTGTAAGTATTTGTGAAACAAAGGCATGATAATACACTAACTGACAATATTAGAAGAATTGAAAACTTTTTTTATTAATAATTCTTTAGAATTTCATATTTCATTGTAATGGTATTCACTTAGTTGTAGTACTCATTTTTGTCCAGTTTATGTGGTTAGTAACTAGTAAATTAGCAAAAAGAAAAAAGAACATACACAGATGTGTTCAAAAATATGATTAATGTGAAATTAAATTTGTAGATTCAGCTCTGTTTTGCTTTGTTTTTATTAGTTAACTACTACTGCATGAATGAATTTTTGACCTTGATACATTAATATTAAATGACACTTACTACATGATTTTTCTTTGTAATTGCTAACAAGGGATTCGTGAAGTAAGTAGACTTATTTACAGAATGAGTAATAGATATTACTAACTTGATATGATTTCTCTTTAGAATCTTGCTCATTTCTAATTTTTAAGGAAGCATAAAAATAAATTACATACTGAAATGTTGTTTATTGCAGATTTTTATAGATTGGAAGGGGCAGGGGTTTATAAATATATAGTAGATTGGAGAGAGGTTTGTAGATATAAATAGATGATGTAAATGTGTGATAAATCAGATGGGTAGTGAGAAAAATTAAATTTAGAAGTTAATTAAAAACTCATTTTGAAAAGTGTTTTTTATTTAGAAGCTGTGTGTTTCAGAAATTTATTTTCATAAAACTTTCATGAAGATATTTAATGTATACAATTATTTAAAAAATATTTTGAGGGAGAAACATAATTTGATATTTTGATAAAGTCATTTTTTGCAAAGTTAATTATTTCTTTAGAAAAAGAGTAGTTTTTAATAAAAATTGGACAGTATTATGATCATTAAATTAGAGCAGCATTTTGTAAATATGCATTTCAGAGTTTTTAAACATGCAAATTCCTTTAATGCATTGAATTACTTTGAATCCAATCCCTTCATGATTTCCACATTTTCAACAATTTTATATTTAGGAGATGTTATTTTTATGTGAAATTCATTTTTTAATACTGAGGCACTTGATACAATCTACAGTGTGTATTTCTACAGTTAAAAAGACACTGTTTTGAAAATAATTATTTAATTGTTATACTATTAGCCTAATGATCTCATAGAGATCTCACCTTTTGTTGTTGAAATAAATAGGAACTTGGTTCTTTGAAGAAAAATTGGACATCAGATATGTTTATTATGAATAATCATAATTGCATACAACTTGTATTGCATCTCTAATTAATGTTATATCAATGAAACCATCTACACATCACTTATTTAGCAACAACACTTTACCCAAAAGGGATGAACAATACACAGATTTATGCTTCTATGATAAACACTCTGGCATTTCAAAGAGCAAGAACAAGGTAGAAGAACAAACAAAGAGATAGAACAAGAAAATATAATAAAAGATATGAAGTAAAAAGTTTTGAAACATTGTTTTGTAGGTACAATTATTTTTTACCGATAACTAATAATTAATATTGTGTTGTCTAGGTGTGTGGAGCAAGAAGAGTTCCAAGAAATGAATGAAAGTGCTGTATCACCTGTCACTCTCCCTGAGGCCAAGCAACGTGTTGCTGACAAACTTACAATTCCTGACTACTTGAGCTGCCTCCATAATATATCACAATGCCGTCTACCACGTTCACGAAAGATCATGCAAAAACGATACCTATAGGACTCTAAAAGTGCATTGATTGCTTTTGTGATGAAATCAGTATTGTATTTTATACCTATTATATAAATGAACTGGTTTCTCCTATTTTATGTAGAGCTTTTACTTTTATCTTTTGTACTGTTTTGATGTGATTTGTAGAAAATTTACCAACAAAATGTACAGTATATTACTAAAATGGAATTAAATAAACATAAAATTTTCACTGCTTGATGAAAAATAATGAACATTTATATTTTCATGCTGTTTATTTTATTAAGAGTATTATTTATTGAATATAATTTTAAAATAAAAAATTATATTTGGGGGTTAAGGTTTTGCTATTTTCCTTTCTTTTTTTATTCTTTCTTTAGAACAATCTGAAATTTACTACATATTGTGTCAAGAGTAATATTTTGCCAGAGAACAAGTATGAACTTATCTTATGAAAATCTTAAGAAAATGTCACTTAAGACAATATATTGATTTTTTGTGTCTTAATATGAACAAAACCGAAATAAACAATTTATCTTGATTTGTAGTTTAAATAGCATGAATTACTTTGCTTACTTTTGGAATGTACAGGAAAAATGTCCTCACATGTTCAATTTACTAAGAACTGAAACATTAGGGCTGTTATTTTCCTTTTTAATAGTGCTTATATGTGATTTTAATGTTTTTCTTTTAGCAGTACTGAATTCTAATATTTTCCTTGATCTGTCATCTTTATATTGGCTCTCATCAGACTTGTTGCTTCCTTCAACTTGAGCAATTCCAGTTTCTGTTTCCAAGGCTGTTCTTTCCTGTGCAGTTTCCACTACTCTTTTGAGTGCACGGATTGCATCTTTTATTTCTACAAGCTGCCCTTCTACATCTTCTTGTTTTTTATCAGCCACATTTGGTCTTGAATTCCTCAGTTGTTGAAATAAGTTCCAACAACATGTTTTTACCTGTAACATGAATCACACTTTGCCAAACATGATTTTAAGAACATTTATGATAAAATATTTAGTTTTAAGTTTTTGTTTGGAAAGAGACCATGTTCATATGAAAATTATCTAATGCACACATAACTAATTCCTTAAAGTTTAAAGGGCATTTATAAAAGTCTTTATGTTTATTAAATATTATGAAATCATTTTTTTTATTAGTGAAAAACCAGCTTTACTTGGTATAAAAACATAAACCCAGGTATTAAGGTGGCTCTAAATAAATATGTTGCAACTTCATGAACATCAATGTACAACTTTGCTGCCAGAGAGGTTTGTAAACATGAGCGAATGTGCATTCACATTTGTGAATGTTCAGTTGCTTCAAATGCATTCATCTACAAAATATTTATTTTTTGAAGCCTGGATCTGAACATAATCTGGTAAGCAGACCAGAAAGTCTGGTTTCATCTTTACCATGTTTATTATTGTTTAGCAGAAAACTTGTCAATGGTTTTGCTTTCAGCACTACTGCTGCTACAAGCCAAATCATAAGACAAAACTTTATGAAAACAAAACACATGAATGTCATAAAACACATAAAGAAAGCCATAAAGAACACAGAAACACACAAAAAGAGTCCTGAAATATACATAAATCATCTTCACTACATGCTAGAACCTTTGCTTTTGTAAAGGTTGCTTTCTGAAATCTCAGGAAGGTCATGATTCTTGTTTTATTTTCAGTAATACCTGAGCAAGCTCTTGTGATTTTTCTGCTGAAACTATCTTCAAACGCCCCAGAATTGTTTCCCATCGCAAAGAATTTTGCTTTGCTTCATCATATTTAGTCTGCAGCTCTGCCATTTCATTGTTGATTCCCATAAGAACTTGTTCCTTTTCCTAAAAAAAGATTAGTTGATTGACACCTAAAGTATTTTTAAATATTGATTTTTACATAACATTTTTTTGTGCATGCATGTGACTTGTTTATAAACTTTCACACATAAAAAATTGCTATCGAATTTTTTTGGAGGAAAAAAATCATATGTGTAATATATCTTTTTGTAATAGAAATGAGTTCATTTTATGAAATTTTCAGTCTATTAGAAATAAATCTAATGAATGAAACAAAGGAGACTATATTTAATAATAGCAAAGCAAAATCATAAAAACAATGAGATTCATATTATCTATTAGTTAGCACACAACATGCTGTTCATTTACTTCCCAGACATGAAATCATTTGTCAAGCAGTGTTAGATGTCTCTGGAATACTCTTCCTTCTTCTGTCTCTAAGGCATGGGAATAATTGGAAAATAAATTGTAAGGAGTGACAATATATTTTATTGGAATGTACTTATCTGGATTGCATCATACAAAATGAGAGATAACATTAATAAAAGCCAGCCAGATACTTTTGCGGTGACAGCCTAGCCAACAGTGACATGAAGGTGTTGGAGTTAGAGTGATAAGTGATGTTTAATAATGAGTATGAAAGCAACTGATAAGGCACCCTTTGGTTGCTGAGGAAGGGCTTCTTTACTATCTGTTTGAAGGATCATGGTTTCAAGGTCTACCTAGGTCAGCTTGTAACTAGTTATTATCAAGAAATATAGTTCATTTTTCCCTCTCTGAATATTTATGAGAACCCACTCGAGAATCACTCTAGCATGGATATCATTGGGTTATGCAGTAAAACAAAAAAAAGTCAATTATTTGTGGGTAAATAAAATAATATTCCATCACAGTATCTCTTTAGTATTGGAAGTAACAAGGACTTTAGTATGAAGGTTGCAATGTTGTATGATGTGAGAAAGGAGGGTGAAATTTGTCTAGATGGTAAAACAAAGGGCAAGAGAAATAGGAGTATCACTTGTCATGAGTCCTTTTTTACCCTATAAATTCCAAATGGATTGATCAAGTTGTAGTTCAGAAGTACGTATTGAACAAACTTTTTCTTCTATCAGAGGTCACATGAGGGAATAATCAGCATTACTTTTCAAATCTTGAAGATCAAGAAACGTATTTACTAAACATGGTCTCCACCTAACTCAGGTTGGCAAAGCATAAACGTAGTGGCATGTTAACACAAGCGTTGAGCTATTTTTCATCCTTCGCATCTTCGCCTACGTGCAACTGGCATTGCAACCGCAGGCCACCCCTCCATCTATGAACCTGTAGCAACTACACTTACAGGAAGCCCCACAATACACAAAAAAACAAATTATCTATATGACCTACATTCAAAATGTTCAGGTCTTTAAGACCAACATTAGAAATATTACTTGCAAACAAGACGTCAACACTTAACAATATGGCTTTAGTGAATATTGGTTAACACAGACAACGAGACAACTACATAGCACACACATTCCAGGTTTTACCCTATCTAGTGGCTCATATAGAGAAATAGGCAAATTATGTCATGCTTACTCCTCTCTCTTTAAAAATAAAGACTTTGAAACATGTATTATAGAATTACTGAAACAAAGAGTATGGATTTTATGTACCTACCATAGTCCACAGGAAACACAAATGTTTTCTAAAAAAGTCTTGAAATTGTTATTGTTAAACTTAAAAGACGCAGAAACTATTAAATTATATTTTGCGGCGATTTCAATATTAACCGTTTGTCACAATCAAATGAAGATAAACTATCCAAAAATTTACTTAACTCTTCAACTTGCAAACAATTATAAATCAACCTACTCGAATATCTAAAAAAAGTAGTACTGCCACTGATCAAATAATAATAGATGGAAATAATTGCAGCTATTCAGTTGTTACATATAACACAGGGTTTAGTAAACTGCGCAAATACTTAAGCTCAAAATGGATACAAAAGTTATGAAGGAAATACTTTATAGAGAAAGCTGAAACTTCTCTCAGGAAAACGTAGACAAATTTAGCTCTTTAATAAGTTCAGAAAACTGGAAGGAGGTGTGCAAAGCAACAGACATTCATACAAGAGTTATTTCAATAAACAGTGAAGTAAATAAAAAGCAAAAACCACATATTATGGATAACAAAAGGAATCAAAACATCATGTGAATGGAAACAAATCATACATGAAACAATCCTTCACCACAAATGTAGTTCTGATTTCATTCCTTATTACAAAACATACAAAAGTATCTTGAAGAAAGTAATTAAACAGGCCAAACTATTAATGAATGATTAATGCATTGACAAAGCACAAAATAAAACAAAAGCAATGTGGAACATTATGAAAAATACTCTAAAAACACATAACAGAAGCACTAAAAACAATTAATTTATCTACAAAAATAAAGTTCTGCACAACCCACAAGAAGTAGCAATGACAGTCAATTGACATTTCTTAGAAATTGGAGAAAAATTAATTCACTCCAACTCTTTAAATAATATAAATATACAGTCAAAAATACACACATCAACAAATGCAAACTCAGTCTGTATCTGTGAAACATCAACTGTAGAAATACAGAAAATCATAAATCAAATGAAAAACAAACACTACAGGACTGGATAATATTCCTGACACCCTCATTAAACATACTGCAACAAACATAATAGAACCGCTCATTTATGTTTGCAACCTCTCCTTAATGACAGGTATCTTTCCAGAAACTCTCAGAAGAGCAAAAGTTAAGCCACTATTCAAAACACTCACGATCTCATGAATTACAGACCAATATCCTTACTATCTGGATTCTCAAAAATTCTAGAAAAGTTTTTCAATGATAGTCTCAAAAATTTTCTCAATTCAAATAATATATTGACTTTTGGACAAATCTATGACTGTTACATGAGGGAATGATTCAACATATGCTCCTTGGAGGATTGTGGTAAAAATGACTGCAACCTTCACCACCAATGAATTATGATTATGCTTTGGGTGGTAGACTTTATAAGCAGTTTTGTGGATACATATAGCTTGTTTCTTAATTCTTAAGTAGAAAATACCAGAAGTTTTTAGTTAAAGCTGTAGAGCCTTACATAAGGAAGAGAATGTTTTTAGTAAAAATTCATGCTAGAAATTTTTTATGTACTATATCTAGTTTCACTAAAAATAGTACATAATTTCTTTCAGGTTTGTGAAACAATAAGATCACTTGTCTATCATAGTCATGATGAGTAAACTTACTTCATCATGATGAGTCAATGCATTTCTGACTTCTTCCATTTCTTCCATATCTTGTACTTGGCGAGCAGCCAATAATGATCGTGTGTCTATTAAAATTTCATATTTGGTCACAATGTCATACACAGATTGAAATTCATTACTTTCTGCTGCAACGTTTTCCAAGAAGTCCTGGAAAAAACAATATTTTAAAAATTGCTTTTGATAAAAATATTCACTAAAATTTCAGTTCCTATATCATACTTCATATATTTTGTACTCCTGCACATGTTTTAGCATTTTTTCTTTCACTTGATTTAAATACTCTAATTGTGTTTTCAATGACCGAATATCTGCCGACCGTTTGGCCTGTACATACTCTTCTTCTTTCACTTTACGAACAGCTCGTTCTCGCTTCTCTTGATTTTCCTAGCAAAATAATAAAGAATCATAATTTATCCTTTCACTTTAATTTTCAGTTTAAAAGAGGAAAATAATGCACACTGTGAATCAGTGCAAAAAGCTACACACCTTAACAAATTTATTAAATTTCATGAATGATTGCCTCAACTGATTTTCTTCTTCCCGAAGTTCTTCCCATCGTTGATCCAACTCTTCACGATGATTCTTTTGTTCTTCACGTTTTAATGAGACCCGATCTAATGCTGCTTCCAATTCCCTTTGTTTTGCAATGAGTTCTGTTGCTGGGGAGAAGCGTGCAACATCCCATTCTGGTTTCTTTCTGGAAGACAAATCAACAAATAATGTATATTGATTTACAATAATAAATATTTATAAAGAAAATGATTTCAATAATATACATTATCAAGTCATAATTTAAATTCATCTAAATCAGACTTACTTTTCATATCTGTCTTCACATTTTGATAAAAAATATTCTGTTACACCTTTCTCTGGAGTACAGTCTGGAACTTCACGCTTGGTAAGATCTTTAGTTAATTTAATATTTATCGGCATTTTGAAATAATGGTTTTGTAATATCCCCCAAGATAATTCTTAATTCTCTTATTATTTGACTGTGTAATAAGAAGTAACACAACCTCGATTACATATCAACAAGTTTACTAAACATATGGGTTGGATGTTTTGCAGGCTGACAACTAATAAAAAAAATTAAAATATTCTATAAGTTTTTGTACAGAAAATTCACTAAGAAAAGTAAGACTTACTTTTGTTGAATATTTCAAACATAAATTATAATTTTGTATGCATTGTCTATCTTTTTCATTTTATTATTATTTCACTTTAAACATTCTGGAATACTGTTGGTATAATTGTTATTTCCATAGCAACTGGAATACAGCATCTCTTGTTTTGTTGTGAGAACTCCTCAGTGAGAAAAGTGTTTTATTTTAACTTATATACCTATAAAAAAAAGTACATGAGGAGATAATCTTGTAGATTACTTTTATCAACTCTCTTCTATCATACTTCTTTTGTTGCTAAAAATTATTTGCTTAGTTTCAAATATTTAATCTTCAGGCTGTATACGTATATAATGATCCTAAATTATAGAAAATTAATATTACAAAATATTTTTCTTGACAAAAGGCTTTAAATGTAACAAATTTCAAATTCACTTTAAATAGCATTCCTAATAATTAAGTGGGTAAAGATAATGTTTTTTTCCTCTTAATTGTAGTAACCTCTCTATAATGCTTAAGAGATGTAATTGGGCTCACATATGCAATTATATGTAATTACACAGATGTATTTTTTACAATATCTCTCATGTCATTAAAATTCACATCATGGTAAATGTTAACAATGTGAGAGATATGAAAAAAAAATCTGTGTAGTTTTTTAAAAATAAAAAGAATGTATCAAAATGGCATTTATGTCATGTGATCCAGGGTATTTAGCACTATTAGTACAAAACGTTTCAAGAAAAAAATGTTGAGTCGTTTTTGTGCAAATGTCATTTAAGCTTTTCTGAAAATATTATCATCATCCTATTTCTTCATTAAAGTAGGATTAATAATTCGCTACATGAGCAGGAGGCCCTTGCCCTTAATGCAGTAGGCTACTATACACACGGATGCGCTCGCCCACACACACACACGCACACACGCACACACGCGCACACGCGCGCACACACACACACACACACACACACACACACTTTCGATTTTTCAAAACTCACCTATCCTTTTTAAATATACCACGTCGTTATAATTCAAATTTTAGATGTATTTTCTTGTTTAATACATTTATTAACAAAGAAGCTTCAAAGAGTCTTCAGACCAAATTTTGTCAATAATGGTTGCATTACCACTGAAGTATCTATATAGAAAAAGTACAATTCTCTACGATATTCGGAAAGCTATTTTTCGACCAGGATACTGCGGCCTGAAAAACCAAAAAATGTTTTAAATCATTTGATTAAAATTTGATAATATAAAAAATATTCTACGAAAACGAAAAGTATATCAACGCGTTAACTGAAACGTTCTCTAAATATTTTGTCTTATAACATTTTGCCAAAAGTTTTTAAATATTAACGAAAATACGGTTTTTTGCTCGCATAAGAATTGGGAGGTGGTCTGCGAAGAAATTGGACATGAAAATAATGTTGGATAAAACATGTATTTATTTTGACAAGATGAAATACACGAGGGTTTCATGTAAAGTAACCACTAAAAATTAAAACATTCGTTTCAAATTCAAAGACCGCGTCATCAGCCTGATCCATCGGGAAATATGAGTTTTGGTGAAAATCTTCCTTTGCGGGGACCCTGCGTAGTCTATTACACCACACATGCTCTTGTTCTACCAAGGGACATTAGCCCCAGAGTGGGCTCCCAGACTTTCACGGTTTATCCTCCCCCCTCTCCTTCGTTAAAGCACAAGTACGCCGACGGGCTGGTATCCTGATCCCGCCGGAACGCAGTTTGCCCTCAAGGCAACCTCCCCGTACAATACCTGGATTGAGCCGCCTTGCCACCTCAGAGTTACTTGCAACCCAGGCTAGCACCGGAGTCAAATCAATGCGCCACTCACATGCACTGGGACATGTCCCGGTGCCCAGAGTATCGGCCCACTGCCACGACGAAGCCGAGAGCCCATCAGGGAGCCTTCCGAGTAATTCGGGCGGCTTGGAGCCTCCTTCCCGTTTCCTCACCGCCTACGCCTTTTGGCTATTGATGTGAGTATCGCCAGAATCTAAGCAACCTGGCGGGTGGTATCAGGTTCCCGCTGGACTTCTGTATGTGGATTCCAGAGCATTCCGAAGTATCTCCTTCACCCGATCCTGCCCAAAGGTCGACGCGCCATAGGCCCAACTTGTAGGTTACCGGGCAAACCGTCACCCAGGAACTCAGCATCATCTACTCACCCTACTCACTGCCTCCACCTAGAGACTAACGTCGTGAGTGCCGCTATGAAACTCGGAGTCCGCGTGGCCGTCTACAACTCTCCACCAGAGATCGTGGCCACCGCGGTCACGATCCTCCTCTGCAAGGCAGACGGACGGACAGACGTTTTGCCATAAACCGTTATTTCAGTATCACAGCCCCATAAAGCGTGAATTCACAACGTGATGCAGTGAGAATTGCAATGCGAGAAAGTAAAAACTTAAATTGTTTTTGAATTTCCAGTTTAATTTCCATTCTAACAAATGTGGAATCAAGCAGTGCACATGTGAGGAGGATTTGAGGGAAATTCGAGATTATATTTGAGGGAATATTTGGGGAATTAGGTGGGCGCCTGTGATAAACACGAGGGTACAGGGGATCATATCGGAAACCTGCGGAGGTACTTGCCGGAAACATGGTGATCAAAACGAGGGAACATGTGAACATTCGAGAGAACATATGGTGAACCTGCGAGAGAAAATATGAACATGCGAGGGAAAGGTAGATGTACAGAGGAAAACATGTGGGGGTCAGGTGGAGCGAGGAATTGCGAGAATACTTAGCTTTTCTTGTCCCATATTCCGCAACTAGGCGATCAGACAGTCGAAATCTATGTGACACTAAATTGTCGAGTTAATAAGAGCCTACAATGCTTTAATTCACAGTTCAAGTTCTGGTCTAAAGTCAGGATCCACTATGCAGCAATTTTAACTTTTACAACAATTGTGCACAGTATGTGGAATGTTCGCACGGGTCGAGCTTGTCTTCATTTTCTTGTTTTGTTATGAATTGAACATAATTTGAGGACATTTTAACAAAGTTTGGGAGAGTATAAACTTCCTCTTTTAGTGCCGAATATCCTGAAAGAATAAAACACATGTGTGCTAAGGGGTGTCTTCTCCGAAATGTGTTATGAAGTTTAAATCGTCCTTGTATTCACCGCCAAACAAAAAAGGCACAGATATGTGTCAGGCATACCAATGAATATCACTCGAAATGACATCCCACAGTTTAATAGTTGAGTTAATCTATACGAAAGTATTCATGCTTCAATATAAGTATTGTATTCTACCAAAACATTGCGATTGAGTTTCATTTCATACTTTGATATATTAACCATTTGTGCGTGCATGGTATTACTGATGATCATTTCAGATTCCCAGCAGAAACCACAAAGCCAAAATACTCTCTGCCACGAAGTGAAGAGCGCGTCTATTGCGATTCCCCACCTTATGCCCGGGTTCATTGCTATATGTGGAGGGGTGGGACCAGGACGTTGACGTTAATTATTGGAGTCTTCAAATCCTGTTGTTCAATATTGTTGTGCAACATGGGTATAGTGGCTAAAAGATGGACGAACGAGTGACACGAGATAAAGCGCAATAATTTCCACGCGTTAATTTGAGCGGCTGGGATTTTGGCATTAGCGGTGATCGATAATTATGATTCCGTCGCCGGAGGCACATGGTAGCATGGCGTGGGTATTGGTTAACACACTCCAAAATCCGGCTTTCATAAGTGGCATTGGATGTGGCATTTTAGTGAGCTGGTTATGGATGAAATTTGGGAAGAAAGAGAAGGAGGAAGGCACGCCGACTGACACTAAAGCAAAGTTAACAGTGCCTGAAGAGGTGAGTTTTTAAGGATAAGTTAATGGGTTGCAAGTAATTGTTTCTTGTTCAGGGTGGTAATGCAGAATTGTGAAAATATATTTTATGATTATTTTAGGTGTCTGGTTATGATGAAGGGGAGTACAAGATGATCCTTGTTGTTAGAAATGATTTGAAAATGGGGAAAGGAAAGGTTGCTGCTCAGGTAACCTCCTTTTTACTTTAATAAAAAATTAGTAAAAAGTGTATTTGTAATGTTTGTTAATCACACATATATCTGCAGTGTGCTCATGCAGCGGTTGATGCTGTTCGTCGCTGTTCAAGTGCCAATCCTCATATATTAGAATGCTGGCAAGATTGTGGTCAACCCAAAATAGTTGTGAAAACAGATTCTGAAGAAGACCTTAAGCATTTGGCCACAGATGCAAGGCGGCGGGGATTGGTTGCTGCTATAATAACAGATGCTGGTCGTACACAAGTTGCTCCCAATACGAAAACCGTTTTGGCTGTGGGTCCGGGTCTTGCTGATGAAGTGGACAAAGTTACTGGCCATTTGCGATTGTATTGAAAAGGTTTTTCTGTTTTGCCATTGTAAGCTCATTGTGATGAATTTACTGGATGTTTAGTGTATGTTACTGATGAGGCAAATTTAATGTGAATGCTTTTTTTTTTTTTTTAAATTTAAATTTGTGACAGCGTTTTTAAACGTAGACGAAAAAAATTGGAAGATCAAGTTCAGTATTGTGAAAATTTCAACTTCTGTTGCAGTGATTAAACAAACTTTCCCTCCGATTGTCAATGTGGTAACAATTCTTAAAATTTCTTGTGCAAGTATGTGTAATAGTGCTAACTACAGAATGTAAAATGGCTTTGTGAGTAAACTGTGATAATTAATTAATGATTGTGAACAGTTGTATGAACAAGGGACTGCAAATATTTTGTAAATGAATAATGTAGTTGTTTTAGTTTTTTTAATTCAGAATTGAACTGCAGTCTTCTCAGTTTCTTTTGTATCTTTACTAAAATGTATAATAAAATTATAAGAATTGTTGGTAACTTTCTTGATTCAATAATTTATTACATTTCATCTTACATTAATGATCACAAATTTTGTTAGCAAGAAGCTATAATTTTGTAATAATTTTTGTAAGCATTGTGCTTGTTTTGATTTATTGAACGAATAGTCCAGTTCTTTGATTTGCCAATTCAACTTTGTGTTATTTTCTACTTGTCATTAATTTTATTATATTTATTTTGTCAGAATGTAGTTTTGTAATATGTGTTCACATACTCCTGTGTTAAGTTGCAACAAAAGTTCACTTCACTTTTCATTTGATTTTCACTTCATAAGTGAAAAAAAAAAATGAAGAAATAAAATCTTATTTTGAAGAAACTGTTTTTTCTGTTATATAAAAACAGATATATATATTGCGGAACTAGTGAGAGTAACTGTTCTTCTGCGAGAGAAGTTTAACTTCCATAACTTTCATTCTTTGATGTCAACTGTCCTTGGTTGTATGGTAGCTTGGACGGCAAAGATTCGTAGTTTTTTTTTTTTAAGGAACCAGTCGTAACTTGCCTTTCCGTAGCAAGATCAGAATCCTCACGTGCTTTTTCGCTTAATTTCTTGAGAATAAATGGCAACTTATATTAATTTTTGGAATATGACCCTTTACCTATTCAAAATCCACTGGGTTGGCAGGTTTCTTTCTGGTGGTGTGTGTTATGAGAAGTGCTTTTGGTATCATTGTTCAGTATTATTGAGTACATTGCCCATCTGAAATGGAAGCCAAATTGAACAAATAGGAAACAATACCACAAGTCTGTTTTATTATCATAATATTGCAGTCTTTTTATAGGTTATCATTAAGGCTTGAATTTCTATTTAATATTATTGCAATTTCTATAAAATATAATTGCACATTTATCCTGTTTATTCTGAAAAGTACTACTTCTAATAGGATTGAAGTTGTTATTGATGCTAATTTTGTATATTTTTGATATTTGAGGTACTTCTCATAAAATTGCCTAGTTCAGGGTAATTCTAACTTTTAATGCATATTTTATAATTAACAGTGCATTGGTCTACACTTTTCATGATTGGTTTTATTTCCAATTTTTGCCTATATTTCCTGTTTGTGAAACTCTTGTTTGTAGAGAATTTGAAGATATTCAGTCTAGTTCTCTTGAATGTAATTTTTTCTTTATTCCCTGGATCACGGCATTGTGTTGCAATGTTTTATCTGTTTGATTAAACAGATAAAACTTAAGAAAATTGGGTAAAAGCATGATGCTTCAAAACTGTCTTCTTGCTTCATAAGAAGAGGTGCTCTCTGAAATAATTTATTCTGAGAACCTTTCATTTTCTAGAATCAGTTGATTATCTGTTATTTCTAACACTTGAATTTGATATTGTTTTGTTTTTACTGCATATTTTGGCTTTTTATCCTGAATACAAATCTATCCTGTTTATGATATTTTGATTAGTTTATAATAATTAACCCTCCAACAGAGAATGCCATCTTCAAATAGCAGTGTCATTCCATTGTTGTTTACAGAGATCTGTTCCTAGATATTTGAGATTTTCCTCTGTGCAAGACAGGAGGTCGTCATAGCGGCGCACTAAGCTGTGTACTACAGCACGTTGGGAAAGTCTCCCTGTAGTGGCATCTTGCTGGTGAGAGTGCTAACAACATAAATTATGTTGATAGCGCGAGCTGCAGCTTTAAAAAATAAATTGCGTACTCTACGTTATCATAACAGATGCTCTTAAGTGTTGTTCCCTTTTCTTTGTTTCCCAGTGAACTGGTTGCTACCAACGTAAATGCAATTTTTAATAGGAGGTCCTGACTTGACTCAGTGTGCAGTCTTTCCTGTTGCCCTATACTTTGCTGATGCTTGCAACCCTACTACACTCCTGACGGAATGCTGCCATTGTATGCTACCATAGCATGTCACACAGTTTTTAACTGTTTTTGACATAAATAAATAAACAAACCATACCCAACCTTGGCTCCTCATTGAAGGGTTAAAAAAAATTTTGGCCGGAAGATCTGAGGTCCTATCTGAGATTTTTCTGATCTTTATTGCAGTGTTCTGTGGAGAATTTGTGGCTACTGATTTTTTTAAAATAAAAAAAGTATTGATTTTTAATTGCTTTGTTAGTGGGATTTTTTTGCATGGCAGAAATATTTTGAACGTTACTTGAAAATATTAATACAGGTTATACTAATGAAACTAGTAATGAAGAATAGTTTATAGTATTGTGGATTTGTTCTGAGAAGACATTTAATTATCATCTTTCTTCTTTATGATGAAATGTGCATTTCACTTATTTGAGTTAAATTTACAACCTTTATTTCGACAATTGCAGTTGAGAATACATTATTCCTGATATCTATTCAAAATGATTTCCTTGGGTTAAGGCAACCTTTATTTTGAAAATTATTTCATTTATTGAATTCTCATTGTTACATGCACTTGTGGCTTGGAAATTTCTGTGATTTAAATTCATCTGAATCAGTGGCTGCCCATGAATTTCTTGACATTCAAAGCTCAAAAGAGTTTGGTATTTTTTTCATTGATGGTAAACCAGTTTACTCTGAGCAATTATTTTAGTGTTTTATGATGTTTCACATTTTCTTTATTATTTTAATAACTAATTTTTAACATTTGATACTATTTCAATTTTTTTGTAACTTTGCTTTAGTTTCACAGAAAAAGTTAAACCTTATATTTCATTTCACCTATTAAACTCAGCATTTATAATGAAGCAATTAATGCTCTTAAAAAGACTTTTGAACTTTAGCCCATCTCATGTGAGTACATTAAATTTTTGTTGAAAAAATGTAAATAATTTTTTGTTCTTTATATTTATCTTTGTGTATAGAGGAATTGGGACATTTTGTTGTACAAAACAGTATCTTATGATCTGGGTGAAATTGCGAGGGTCTTTTAGAGGAGTCTCTCTCTATTTTAAATGGTTTCAACATTTGACAGATTGGCACTTTAATTCACTCTTAGGTTTTGCATCTACTGCTTGCCTCATGAAAACAGTGGTATCACATTGCATTTCCTTATGAAATATGTTTTTTTTTTTCTTTTTTTTCTTTTCTTTTCTTCTTTTTTTTTTCTTTTTCTTTCTTTTTTTTTTTCCACACCTGTACTTTTCAATTCATTTTGAGCTCTTATTAGCTAATTTTTTCTAGTGAAGGAAAGGGCTTGAGAGGTAGCTCAGGACATTGACCATTATCACTGGAGTAGCTCTGACTCCTCCTCCTAGGGTTTGAGTCCTGATGGTTACATGATTTTCGACTTCATTACTAGGTTGATTTCAGCTGCTGTCCAGAAGAGAATTCTAGCGATTTGCTGCTCTGTATTGGTAGCTTTCCATGGTTTCTCTGATCAATTCCAGCCGAAAGTCAAAGCAGTACCCAAACAAACAGGGTTACAGAATACACTCTTCCTTTTCCTATCCTCACCACTTCCATTTACACACACTACATAAATACACATGCTAGGAGACCAGTTGGGAGCTTAGGGCTTGTCTCAGCTGGGGCAATGCTCCGCTGGAAGGACTTACCTGGTTGAGAAAACCCTGTAACCCTGTTAGCTGATGGTATGTCAGTGCCGGATCTCACTATCCAGCTGAGGAAGATCACTGCCACCACCTGTGATAAAACATGTACTACACTTATGGTACTAATGATCATAGTCCTAGACATGCCTGGAATGATTAATCAATCAAAATACAAGTTGTGAGTTAATGCAAATTTTAGGATGAATAGTTTAGGAAGTTTTGTATGTGTTATGTTTCAACAGTTGAACTATCTTGTATTCATGAAAAAAGGAGAACGGAATACAATGGATTAGAAATTAAAATTAGGGATGAATAGTACTGTGGACGTAAAAGCATAAGAAGATTGAAAATGTGCAAGATAATATATTCTTTATTCACAACAAAATCAGTATTTTCAACTTCGAAGTGTTTGCCCATATGTGATTGATTAAAATATAAATAAAATTATGGCAGATTTTTTGTTAGTTTTGTTCTCATATATGGTATTTTATTTGTTTTAGCTGTTTAATAATAATTAGCTGTGTAATATTTTTAGTCAATGAATGTCAATGATTACACACCCTGTGCATTTCAGTTTGGAATTCACAGCCTGTCGATCAATCACATTCCTTGAATTTTCGGAATCCAAGGGCATTCTGTTTGCAATTTGTGCTTCTTTTGAATCAAAGTACTCAAGCAAAAGATTTTGCAGTCTTGTGTGTGACCTTAGCATTGTTGTGCTCCTATTTCTCATTACGTTTTGAATTGATCATTCAACAGAAAATGAATCTTGAAACTAGCAACAGTGGCAATGAAATATGTATACCACTTGAAATTCTGGAAATTGTGAATTCAACAGCTGAACAATTATTGTCGAAAAAATTAAGGAAGTATTATGAGCAATCAAAGATAGCATTTGTGGAGTGAGAAGGACTAATAGGGTAAATTCTTGTAGCAGGAACATTTTCTTGGCTTACTTAACAAAACTTTCTCAGCAGTATAAACCCTCTAGTTCATATAAGATTAACTCAATGTTAAATGCACAGTGAAGGAAAACTAGAAGCCTATTCTAAATTGTGTGTTGATAGGCTGAAAGAAACTGTATACTATCTATTTAAAAAACTTAAAAGTTTTACTCCAGTAGAAAGAAAGAAATTTATCATAGAACCTCTGGACGGTGTAATAAATGTATATGATTAGATTTTGCACAAATTAACTAGTACACTGCATTTTTTAATGTGGCTCTAATAATGGGTGCTGGTTGCAGAATTGAGATGCACTCCTTGAAAATAGAATGTTCATTTAAAGCACCTTATTTAATAACAATACCCAATTCTAAAACAAAAAGAGAAAATATACTGTTTCTGGTAACTTTTATGGTATTCTGACCTTTATTCGGCTGTAGTGAAAATACCTTACTTTTTTAAAGTATGAACTTGGGAAGTGCATCATGCAGAAAATTGGTGTTAATAAATTTAGGCTTGAGAGAAAACAAATAGCTACATACTTAAAGAACCTATACACTGGTCATGGTTTCCATAGATCTTCTGCCTCATTAGTTGATGCAGGTAGAGATATTATGACTTTCAAATGACAAGGAAGCTGGAAGAATAAATCAGTAGATAAAGGCTGCATAGATGATTTTAGGGCAAAGAAAATGCACATTGCAAACCAAATACTGTAATTTGTGTAGCAGAACAAAAACTTGCAAAATTACTTCGCAAAGTCATCACACACTAGCACTGATATCAATTTTGATGTTGAGTCAATACAGTCAGTGTTAAATATTTCTAACTGCAAGAATTTCAGCATTGATTTTGTCACATATAAATTCA